CGGGAGGCGGCGCGGGAGGGCCGGCCTCGGGCCCGTACGGGCCGCGGCGGCGGCGGTGGCCGGGTGCCACGTGGCGGGCGGAGACAGGCCGGGGGGAGCGGGGCGGACACGTCCGTCGGTGGGATTTTTGTCCGGCGGCGGCGGTGATTTTTAGGGTTTCAGACGAGGGAGATCCGGATTTTCGGGAGGGGGTGTATATATAGGCATAGAGGGAGCTAGGAGAGTCCAAACGAGGCACGGTTTTCGGCCACGCGATCGTGATCAAACGATCTAGGTGATGGAGTAGAGTTAGGTGGGTTTTGGGCCAAATTGGAGGGGTGTTGGGCTGCAACACACACGAGACCTTTTCGGTCCCTCGGTTAACCGTTGGAGTATCAAACAAAGTCCAAATGATACGAAACTTGACAGGCGGTCTACCGGTAGTAAACCAAGGCCGCTTGGCAAGTCTCGGTCCAATCCGAAAATGTTTAATCCCCACACATGAAAGAAAGCTAGAAATGACCATCGGAGGAGAACGAAGCGCCGGAATGCAAAACGGACAACGGAGAAAATGCTCGAATGCATGAGATGAACACGTATGCAAATGCAATGCATATGATGACATGATATGAGATGCATGACAACGATAAGAACACACGGAGACAAAGACCCGAACCCGAGAAAATAAAATAACTTAACGCCGGAAACGGCAAGAGTTGGAGTACAAATTGGGAAAGTTATATCCGGGGTGTTACATCAACGCTGCAGCACATCTCCCTGTCCATGCTTCATTCGTTTACTTTTGGATCTGATGGTGATTTTTGGCAGATGCAGAGTTTTTAATACCCAAAGCTAGTTCGGTAAATATTTATATTCATACTCACAGCGTTGTTCGACTGCTATACTCTTCCTCTGCTTGTTTTCAAATTTTTTGGCCAATTTTCGGCTAAATTTCAGTTAAATTTGGGTTAAAATTCAAATTTTAGTTTTGTATTTTCGTCCGAGATTTTGCCGAAATTTTTGAAATGGCCGAATTTCGGCCATCTCGTTCAAGGGCGAGAAAAAACGCAAACCGAAAACCAAAACACAGCGTGGGAGTGATCATGCGCTTGGACATTGCATGCATGTGAATTAAAAACGCATGTTTCTGCACGCAAGGCGTCGACTATACCATTTTTGGATGTTTGCTCATCGGTAAAAACATCCAAGCCCCAAAAGAAATGGTCCAAATATATTCCTAATCTGGTAATTGAGCTACATGAAATGAAATAGAGGGAGTAGTGAGAGGAAGAACTTTTTTTCGACCATAGCAAGGTGGGCCTGTCCGAGATGCATTGGACCGCTGAATTGCATATGTCGGTAAATATGTTACAGTTAAAGGACTGGAGTGTGAAAAGGAAATACCAAAACTGTCAGCGGACAGATCTTGTGAGACGCGCCTCCAGAATTTTTCCTCGCTCCTCTTGATCCTCTCCAACTCGAAACCCTAACACCAAAAAATCCTCCAAAATACATTCCGCCGCCGCAGCCCGCAGGCACACACGACGATGGCGGTGGAGCTGGGCGAGATTGAGGAGCTCGTCGAGGAGATCCTCATCCGCCTCCCTAAGGACGAGCCTGGTAATCTCCTCCGCTCCTCCCTCGCCTGCAAGCCATGGCGCGACCTCCTCGCCAGCCACGCCTTCCGTCGCCACCACGGCGACTTCCACCGAACACCTCCCATGCTTGGCTTCCTCCGCGACTGGCCGGAACTCAGCATCGAGTTCTTCCCCACCACGGATTTCCTGGCGCGCGGTCCCGACCCCCAGCACCAATATACCGTGGAAGATTGTCGCCACGGCCGCGTCCTCCTTCGATACTTCGATGAGGATGAGGATATGCCATTGCTGGTCGTCTGGGACCCCATGACGGGCAGCGAAACAGTGCTTGGCACCCTTAAAATGTCGGAAAAGGCAAGGTCGTTTGCCTCGGTGATCTGTGCTGCGGACAGCTGCCGCCACGGTGACTGCCATTCCGGTCCATTTGGCGTCGTTTTCGTCATCCTTCACCGGGAAGAAGAGGTTGCTACGGCGTCCGTGTACTCATCGGAGACGGGTAGTTGGAGCTCTTCGGCCGTCACCGATGTTGGTACGTTTGAGGATGAAATCCATTTCTCCATGCCTAGTGTGCTCGCAGGAGACGCGCTCTATTTCCTCCTTTTCCGGGGCCAGGATGTTGAAGGTTGCAGTATTCTCAAGTACGACCTGGGAACCTCCTGTCTGTCGGAGATTCATCTGTCGGAGGAGATGCAGGATGCCAGCGACAATCCTATCCTCATGGTGGGGGAAGACGGTAGGCTGGGGATCGCACACCTGTTCTTTTTCGGCCTCTCCGTCTGGTGGAGGGAGGTGGATCCCGATGGAGTTGTGTCGTGGACACAACGGAGAGACATCGACCTCGAGACTCTTCTTCCTGCTAGTGATTCCATAGTATCACCTGAGTTGGTTGGCTCCATGGAGGGTACTGATATCATTTTTGCAACCACAAATCTCGGCACCTATGAAATTGATCTCAAGTCACTGAAATCACCTTTGAAGATGCTCTCGAGCAAGCTGTGTCAACATCCAGATATCAAATGGACCCTCTTTCCCTACGTTAGCTTCTACTATCCTCCAGCTCCAGGTACCCCTTAACTTCTTTTTATTTTTATG